AATTGTCTTGATGGTCAGAGATATAGCAGCGAAGGAATCGTTCCAGGGCCTGGTTGGAACGCTCTGCGGCCCCATTGGACTGTGGGTGGTAGGCAGAGCTTGATACCCAACTGGGAGCAGAAGGCGCGCCAGAACCTGGACACAAACTGGCTCCCACGGTCCGAGAAAATCACCTTAGGCAACCCATGCAAGCGAAAGATCTCCCTGGCGAAAACCGTAGCCAGTTCTTGGGCAGTCGGCAATTTCTTGAACGGAACACAATGGCACGTCTTGGAGAAACGATCAATGATTATAAGAATGACCGTATGGCCTCGAGACGCAGGGAGGTCTACAATAAAATCCATGCCCAGGTGTGACCAGGGACGCTCCCCATTGGGAATGGGTTGCAGAAGGTCCAATGGAAGATGCTGAAGAGATTTATTCTGGGCACAGACAGAACATGCCGCTACATATGAGGCGATGTCGGAACGGAGAGATGGCCACCAGAATAAACAAGAAACGACCCAGGACAACTGGTTCCTCCCTGGATGACCGGCGGTCTTGGAATTATGGTAGGTACGCAGCAGGTGGATGCGCAATCCCTCAGGTACGAAACATCTACCAGCTGGTCTCCCAGAGGGAGCATCAGTTTGAGCCACCAAAATCTGCTCCCCAAGGGGAGAAGTCAGGCTGGTACGAATGGCAGCCAGGATCTGATCCAGAGGTATGACCGAGGTCGGGTCAGAGTCCTCCCTGGACAGCTCAGAGTATTGCCGCGACAAGGCATCAGCCCTGACATTCTTGGAGCCAGGCAAATGACATTCCTCTGACGTTCTCCTCCTGACTTTCCTGAGAGGAGAGTGAGGCGTGTGGAGAGTGAACCTCGTGGTGTTTCTGAGAGGAGAGCAAGGCGTGTGGAGGAGTGTGAACCTCCTGATGTTCTTGAGAGAAGAGCGAGGCGTGTGAACCTCCTGACGTTCCTGAGAGGAGAGCGAGGGGTGTGGAGGAGCGAGGAGTGTGAACCTCCTGATGTTCCTGAGAGGAGAGCGAGGGGTGTGGAGGAGTGTGAACCTCCTGACGTTCCTGAGAGGAGAGCAAGGCATGTGGAGGAGTGAGGAGTGTGAACCTCCTGACGTTCCTGAGAGGAGAGCGAGGGGTGTGTGCAGTCCTCATTTATAAATGCCTCAAGGCTGAGGAAGATGAGGATCTAGTTAAACATTTGTCAGGTTCTGATATGCGCAGTGAACCTTGGAACGCCACTTCCCAATAGCTGACTTCTGACCCCGGATAGGTCGCTGAACTTTGTTTAATCGCTGCAGTGGCTCAGCATGGAGGTTACAAAAACTGGACAAAATGATGGAAATTTGGGAAATTCAAAGTGAGACTGTGATGAAAATCAATAAAATTTATAATCAAAGGCAGATTCAGAGATGAAATAACAGCCCTGTACGCAGATCTCTGTTGGGGGAAATACAAATTATTTTTATAGTTTTTAAGACTCGTGGATTATACATTTTACATGTCACTGTTCTGTGGAAACTGACATATTTCAGTTGTGGGGGAGGGGATCTGCCTGCTGTAATCACATAATGGGGGAGGGGATTGTCCATTCTCCTCCTCAGGGTTAGGGTTGATTATGGATAGTCCATTCTCCTCCTCAGGGTTAGGGTTGATTACGGATAGTCCATTCTCCTTCTCCTCAGGGTTAGGGTTGAATATTGATCTCCATTCTTCTCCTCCTCAGGGTTAGGGTTGTATATTGATCTCCATTCTTCTCCTTCTCAGGGTTAGGGTTGTATATATGATCTCCATTCTCCTCCTCCTCAGGGTTAGGGTTGTATATTGATCTCCATTCTTCTCCTCCTCAGGGTTAGGGTTGTATATTGACCATCCATTCATTTCTCCTCCTCAGGGTTAGGGTTGTATATTGATCTCCATTCTTCTCCTCCTCAGGGTTAGGGTTGTATATTTATCTCCATTCTCCTCCCCCTCAGGGTTAGGGTTGTATATTGATCTCCATTCTTCTCCTCCTCAGGGTTAGGGTTGTATATTGATCTCCATTCTTCTCCCCCTCAGGGTTAGGGTTGTATATTGATCTCCATTCTTCTCCCCCTCAGGGTTAGGGTTGAATATTGACCGTCCATTCTTCTCCTCAGGGTTAGGGTTGTATATTGATCTCCATTCATTCTTTTCTTCTCCTCAGGGTTAGGGTTGTATATTGACCGTCCATTCTTCTCCTCGGGGTTAGGGTTGTATATTGATCTCCATTCTTCTTCTCCTCAGGGTTAGGGTTGTATATTGACCGTTTCCATTCTTCTCCTCAGGGTTAGGGTTATATATTGATCGTCCATTCTTCTCCTCCTCATGGTTAGGGTTGCAAATTGATCGCCATTCTTCTCCTCCTCAGGGTTAGGGTTGTAAATTGATCTCCATTCTTCTCCTCCTCAGGGTTAGGGTTGTATATTGATCTCCATTCTTCTCCTCCTCTGGGTTAGCATTGTATATTGATCTCCATTCTTCTCCCCCTCAGGGTTAGGGTTGTATATTGATCTCCATTCTTCTCCTCCTCAGGGTTAGGGTTGTATATTGATCTCCATTCTTCTCCTCCTCAGGGTTAGGGTTGTATATTGACTGTCCATTTTTCTCCCCCTCAGGGTCAAGGGTTATATATTGACCGTCCATTCTTCTCCTCCTCAGAGTTAGGGTTGTATATTGACCGTCCATTCTTCTCCTCCTCAGGGTTAGGGTTGTATATTGATCTCCATTCTTCTCCTCCTCAGGGTTAGGGTTGTATATTGATCTCCATTCTTCTCCTCCTCAGGGTTAGGGTTGTATATTGACCGTCCATTTTTCTCCCCCTCAGGGTTAGGGTTGTATATTGATCTCCATTCTTCTCCTCCTCAGGGTTAGGGTTGTATATTGATCTCCATTCTTCTCCTCCTCAGGGTTAGGGTTGTATATTGATCTCCATTCTTCTCCTCCTCAGGATTAGGGTTGTATATTGATCTCCATTCTTCTCCTCCTCAGGATTAGGGTTGTATATTGATCTCCATTCTTCTCCCTGTCAGGGTTAGGGTTGTATATTGATCTCCATTCTTCTCCTCCTCAGGGTTAGGGTTGTATATTGATCTCCATTCTTCTCCTCCTCAGGGTTAGGGTTGTATATTGATCTCCATTCTTCTCCTCAGGGTTAGGGTTGTATATTGATCTCCATTCTTCTCCTCCTCAGGGTTAGGGTTGTTTATCGATCTCCATTCTTCTCCCTGTCAGGGTTAGGGTAGGTTGATTGTCCATTCTTCTCCTCCTCATCAAACTTTAGAATTCCTATCCCAAATTTAGAACCAATAAATTTGGTATAAGCACTTGGGGTGAATGGATCACACACACACACACACAGGTTGGTGGGCCCCCGAGACCAAACAAGTGTTAGAACCTTCCTAAAGAAGGCGGCGGCGGGGGGGAGACTACAGAAAGTGCTTTGTGGAGTTCAGCTTTAAAACCAGAGATTGCCAAGCAAGTAGCATTTTAAAGGAGGTCAGCCGGTATTAAGTCCTGGCTGGTTTCCTTTAAGTCCTTGGTGGCCTCCATGGAGAATGTTAGGTGTATTCATAACATTTACAGAGGTCTGGGGATGACCTCATACAGATTGTCACCTGGTTGGAATTCATTCAACTCTCTGAACAAACACCTGAAACTATTGTAATTGGTTTTATTAGTTTATCATCTCGGCATACCGGTCTGATTTAATGTGTTTATCATAATTTATGTTTATTAATCGTATCGCCTGCCACACCTCGTTTCTGGGCACCACATCACACTGACAGTCCTCCCAATTGTTGTTTCTGGTTTTATATGTGTCAGGTCAGTGTAGATCAGGGGTGCTGAACCCGTGGCCCACTGAGCCCTCTGATGTGGCTTGTGACCTCAAACCAGGGAAGCGTGTGCGCATGCTCTTGGATGGAGGGTCAGCAACCCCATATTGCTGACCCACCATCCCAGAGCATCAGAGTGCACGTAGCCGGTGTTGGCAGCGGAGGAAACAGACGTGATTGAACATCACATACATGGCACTGTGCAATGGGCATATGAGCCACTATAAAAGGGTTAACAACTGTTAGGCTGTTTTCACACTGATCCACAGGTGCTGCGCGGTCCTCCTGTGGCTTTCCTCCTGGTTAGCGGTACTGAACCATAGACTTCTCTTGTATCCTGGGGGTTTGGGGCACTTTCTGAAAGCCCACCAAACTCCTGAATGCAGGAAAATGCACCACGCCCACAAGATGTAATTAGAAGTCTATGGCCAGAGCATCTAATCGCAGCAAAGACGCAGGTTCACTGCTCTGCCCCCGCGGTGTGGGTATACCACAACGTAAGACCCATAGGTCGTTGTGGTCCACGACTATCTACCAAATTACCTAAGTGGTCCTTGCAATTCAGAAGATCGAGCACCTCTGGTGTAGATCATCTTATCCATACTTCCGGGTTTTTTAAAAGAAAGAGTTGTTTCTGTTTGTAACATGTAATGATCCGTGTAGATGGGGGGGCAGCCATTGGCGATCACATGTCGTGCGTCCTGCTATGATGCAGAGCTGCACAATGTCATTGCTGGTCTCCTCCTGCGATCTGGCTGGAAATCTCTGACTTCTGTACTTTCTAAGTCACTAAGATGTCAAACTTTCAGAAAATCATGATGAAGTCACAACTCCATATTTTTTGTGTCGGATTAGTGACTCAAAGTCCATTGGAACAGAATGACAGCCAGGCGCTTAGTATTTTCAGAAGGAGAGGTTGGTAGATCTTCTAGTATAGAGTCTTGCCAGGGCTCCATATACAAGTTACACCGTCTTTTTCCAGACACTCTCATAAACTATACATGTTCTTCTGACTCCGAGCCATTAAATATTCTGCTGAATCATTTGTGTGCATGACCTTGTGGAAATGGTGAAAAGCCAGCCGGTCACCAGAAAGTGTCGTGCCTGGCATCTGTAGGCCAGGACATCATATTGGTTTTTGGTGGAGCTGGAGAAGATCCATTGACAGCAGAGCATGCTAGCATTGTCTGTCTCTGTACATTGTCCTGAATGTTCTCTGCTTATGTTTCAGATGACAGCGCCTCGGCCTCCAGCAGCATGGAGGTGACTGACCGCATTGCGTCACTGGAGCAGCGTGTGCAGATCCAGGAGGATGAGATCCAGCTGTTGAAGTCTGCCTTGGCTGATGTAGTGAGGAGGCTGAATGCATCAGAGGAGCAGCAGGCACTTCAGAACAGGAAGGGACCCACCAAAGGTGCGTTAGAGTGTCCTTGTCAATGTTCATCCATTGTGGTCACCAGATGTAGCCCAGACCTGCCCTGTGAGGTTGGCAATAACATTTTACATTACGGGATCTTTAATCATTGCTATTGGGTTATATGCAGCTACGCCGGTGATTGGACGCTGGCAAAACCGAGAAGGCTGCTGGGACATCCCATTATATTAAAGGAGAAGCCAAAGCTCTATTAGCTGTCCTTCTCCTATGGATCACAGGAGTGCAGTTCCTTCTGCTGTGACCCATTTCCAGGTGACAGCGGGCTGATTTCTGTGGGCTCCGATTTCTGCTCACAGTGGCAGTGAGAGCTCAGCAATCCGTGGTCATGTGATCGCTGAGTTCTCACTCTTCGAGCCGGCGGGGGACAGATGCAGCATCCACCTAGGTACCGGTAAATATCATTTGGGGAAAACAAACCCAAACTTCTGTTTTAAAGAAATTGGGCTGGCCTGTGATATGTCCGACGTGCATTCAATCCTGCTGAAGGTACTTCCTTTGGCATGTACTGCAACACATGGAGTTATCTGCAGAGTGCTTTACAGGCCCAGAGCCGTAGAGTGCAAATGGCAGAGTGCTGTCCTTGAAGACCCCTGTGGGGGTATGCCCATCGTTGAGGGCAATGCCAGAATGGGATATTTCCCTTGTTGATCCTGCCTGTAAGGATGCTTTCACTCTCCAATTCCCCCTTCTGGTGAAATTCACACTTCTGGTGGTTGTGTCTGGGATCCGACAGTGCCGGGTTTCTTTCCTTATTAAAATCGTCACCGTTTCCTGTATTGGGGCTCCTGTGCAACCTCCCACTTGTGGTACCTAGTACTTCTATGTGACCCAGATGTTTACAATTGTACTTTTAATTTTGCCCTTGAGCCACACACATTACCTGTGGAGGAGGTTGTAGATGAGGATGACCTCTCTGCTTCTGAGGAATCGGATCAGGATTACATGCATGTAGCCGAGATTTTACAGATTCGATAGCTACCCTGTTGACTCTGTATGCTCCAAGTGTTAAAGCTGCTTGATTCTGTCAACCCAAGGTTTCCAGCATGAGGTGAGGTCTTAGTAGGTAACTTTCCCAGTCCATATGCAGGTAGGGGACTTGCCTCCATATGGGGACTTGCCTCACCTGGAGAAGATTGTTTACTCCTCCAAATGCTTCATCAGCATTATCCTATTGAAGAAAGTTTCCACTGTTCTTTGGTGGGCCCTTTAATGTCTGATCTAAACATATGGCCTGAAATCCTAGTTCCAACCTATTGTTATCCTCAGCCACTTAGACCTTTTACTCATTGCCATGATCTACAGTGTGAACTGCAGGCACCCGTTTTCCGATATCCCGGAGGATTCTGCTCTCTGTTTATGTGCCCAGGATCTTTTGGCCTAAATGCTGATCAGCTTGGGCTTCCATCTAAGAATTGCCTTGAGTTGCTACTCTTCTGAAGGTGTAAGACTATTGAGTATCTGCTGGATAATTACATCATGTAGATTAGAGGTAAAAGTACTCTTCTCCTCCAGAAAACATAGGCCTTCAAGCCAACCAAATCTGATTCCAAGGCTTCTCCTCAGTGGTGGGGTGACCCCACTTCTCACAGATGGTGGAACTCTTTCAGCCTTCCAGTCCCAGCAAGTGTCATATGCCTAGAGTGTCATTCCAGGGGCTACAAACTGGAGTTTAGCAATCTGCCTCTTCTCTGCTTCATGTTTTGAAACTTTCCCTTTCCCATTAGAGGGGGTATACTTTCAAGCTGTTGTCCTGCAGGTCATGTCTCAAGGGGTCATCATCTCTATACCGACAGGAGAATGATTTCAAGGCTTCCTCTGAAATCTATTTACAGTTCCTAAACCAAACTGAGGAATCTGTATCTGAAGACTCTCAACTTGTTCCTATGGGTTTAAAAGTTCCACTTGGAATCTGCTTTGTCAGTCCTTGTCTCCCACCTTTTTGGGTGATTTTCTGGCCTCAATAGACAATCAGAATGCTTGCTCATGCATTCCCACATTCCCATCTTTCTGCTTCCCCAATGCCATCAGTGGTTTGCTGTGGGCAGTCACCATTACCTGTTTGTCACCGTTGCTCAACTCCCCCGCTGGTCTTTTATTATCGACCCCTGGGTTGTAACCAAGGAGCTTTCCCTGGTCTTGGCTCTGCTCCATGCTCAGAAGATTCATGTTGACAGCTACGTGGATGATTTCCTGTTTAAAGGACCAGTCCTTCCTGTCATCGTTGGCCAAAATTCAATGGACTCTGCAGAGTTTCAGCTCACAGATTAGAGTACCTGGGACTGATCTTAGATACAGCCATGTCGAGAATCCTCCAGAGGACTGAGATGGACAGTTCTGGTAATTCTCACCACTCCCCAATGGCCACGGAGATCATTGTCTTTGGACATACTCGGGCTCCTGGCAGACTCTCTGTGGGCTCTTCCGTATTGTCTGTATCTAGCATTCATCCTGCATCTTGGTCACTGGCTTTAATGGCATGCCTGTTGAGGCCACAGTTACGAGAGAGAAGGGATTTTGGATTTGATCATTCCTACACTTTTTAAGGTAAGGAAAATCATCTTTTTGCAGAGTCTACCATCACACCTGGAAGGTCTGGTTTTTTTTTTTTTTGTGTGAGTGGATGAACTTCCTAGAAAGTACTCCGTGGGACATATTCTGTCCTTTCTCCAGTCTGGTCTGGATCAGTATAGGGCTTTGAGTACCAAATCTCGGCCTTGGCTGTACTGTTTCAGAAACACTTGGTCTCTCACTCCCTAGTTAAGGGCTTGTTTAGGGTGTCACACGTTTCTCCTGTGTCTCCCTGAGGCCTTCTTCTGGGTCTTCAGAAGTCATTTTTTGTACAATTTAGGGATATTCATTTGTTGGGCCTCACTTGCAAGGTGGCATTTCTTGTTCATATCACCTGTGTGGAGGGTCTTGACGTAAAAGGTCCAAGGGCACTGGATTTGTAGCCCATTAATACATTTTTTCTGTACTTGCAGCATGTTTATAGGGATAAAACCATGGGAAATGTGGAAATAATCCAGAATAGTACTTATTATAGATATCATTCATTTTCATTATAATAATCATAATATTTGACTGAATTTTTATTTTTCTTAGATGTACACATTCAGGCAAACCTTGCTATAGTCTTAGCGTGTTCACAAAAACACGTTATTTCCCTTCCCATGGCTATAGATAAGGTGGCAGCTTTATAGGAGAAGACCATTGTGGTGGTTAAAGAGCTCTTGTTACGTTCTTTATTGTGGTCGGTTTAATAGGGGGAGGGGACACTAATGACTAAGTAGTATATTATTAAAGACGTTTCTGGGAGTGTTCGGGCCCCGATAGAAGCAGCTTTTATCAGCACTTCTTCTGTCTCACGTCATTGCAGTGCGTGTGAAGTTTTATTGGGCTTCCAGGAGATTACGAGATGACGTATCGCTCCCCGCCACAGAGGGGACGTATCGCTCCCCACCACAAAGGGGACACATTGCTCCCCGCCACAAAGGGGACCCATCGCTCCCCGCCACAGAGGGACACATTGCTCCCCGCCACGAGGGAACGCATCGCTCCCCGCCACGAGGGAACGCATCGCTCCCCGCCACAGAGGGGACACATCGCTCCCCGCCACGGAGGGGACACATCGCTCCCCGCCACGGAGGGGACGCATCGCTGCCCGCCACAAAGGGGACGTATCGCTCCCCGCCACAGAGGGACACATCGCTGCCCGCCACAAAGGGGACGCATCGCTCCCCGCCACAGAGGAAACGCATCGCTCCCCGCCACAGAGGGGACGCATCGCTCCCCGCCACAGAGGGGACGCATCGCTCCCCGCCACAGAGGGGACGCATCGTTGCCCGCCACAGAGGGGGACGCATCGCTCCCCGCCACAGAGGGGGACGCATCGCTCCCCGCCACAGAGGGGACGCATCGCTCCCCGCCACAGAGGGGACGCATCGCTCCCCGCCACAGAGGAAACGCATCGCTCCCCGCCACAAAGGGGACCCATCGCTCCCCGCCACAGAGGGGACGCATCGTTGCCCGCCACAGAGGGGACGCATCGCTCCCCGCCACAAAGGGGACCCATCGCTCCCCGCCACAGAGGGACGCATCGCTCCCCGCCACAGAGGGGACGCATCGCTCCCCGCCACAGAGGGGACGCATCGCTCCCCGCCACAGAGGGGACGCATCGTTGCCCGCCACAGAGGGGACGCATTGTTGCCCGCCACAGAGGGGACGCATCGTTGCCCGCCACAGAGGGGACGCATCGCTCCCCGCCACAAAGGGGACCCATCGCTCCCCGCCACAGAGGGGACGCATCGTTGCCCGCCACAGAGGGGACGCATCGCTCCCCGCCACAGAGGGGACGCATCGCTGCCCGCCACGGAGGGGATATAGCTACACAAGAAATGTGTGCTTGCCTATCTGTGCTCCTTCACCCCCCCCCCCCCCCAGTAATGTGTACTTACCTATCTGTGCCCTGTCACCCTCCCTACCCCAGCAATGTGTACTTACCTATCTGCTCCCTCACCACCTCCCTGCTTTGTCTAAGCCATCGCTCTAGTGTTGTAACAGGTATGGGGGGGAGCATGTGACCTTCTCATGTGACAGTGCTGGAGCCCGAGTGGCCAGTTATCAAGCTGGAACATTGTGCCTGGGGGGGGGGGGGGGGTAACGTTACCTGTCCAGGTAAGCTCCAACGTTTGCCCAGGATAGACTCTTTCAGCAGGAGGGGTGGGAGCTGTAGGGAGTGGGTGTGGATGAGGTGAGTACCTTACTGTGGGGGGGTAAGTGGCTTTGATGGGTTGGTACACCTGCTGGGAGTGGAATTGGGTGGGGGGGGGGGAGTTCGGGTAATTTTTGTTTCCTTTGTCCCCATTGTCACCTTATGTCCTGGAACAGGAAGTGATGGCCGTCTTTTCCATGGAGACACGGGCAGCGCCAGGTCATTTCTTATATATTCAGTTACCCTTCTTTTCTTTTCTTCTTTTTACCTGAAATGCTGATTGTAACCCCAATCTTCCCGACATGTGAGGTGTTCTGTATACAGCGTCCTCTGCTGGGAAAGAGAAACAAAAAGGTAACTCCTCTTCATCCCCCGCCCCGGGATAGACTCTTCCTCCCCCCCCCCCCCCGGGATAGACTCTTCCTCCTCCCCCCCCCCCCCCCCCCCCGGGATAGACTCTTCCCCCCCCCCCCCCCCCCCCCCCCCCCCCCCCCCCCCCCCCCCCCCCCCCCCCCCCCCCCCCCCCGGGATGGACTCTTCCTGTGTGGTGCACAACTAACAGAATGGCTCACATACTGCATGGGATTCCTCATCGCTGTTTTTGGGCTTTATATTAAACTTTTTTGTGGATACGTCTTCATACTCTTTGGACCGGTCTTGCCGCTTGTTTGTCTACAAAAATCACTTTTGTTCTTTTGTTTGTTGCTTTTTGCGCTTACATAATAAAGGGGCTGCTACTTCTTAAAGCCAAAATACAGCTTCTTTTTTTTAATGTCAAGCATTTCTGGAAATTAAAAAAAAATGCCTTTGCTGCAGTACTCCCCGTATCTCCATGGCCGTCCTCCGCAGACTCCCCGTATCTCCATGGCCGTCCTCCGCAGACTCCCCGTATCTCCATGGCCGTCCTCCGCAGACTCCCCGTATCTCCATGGCCGTCCTCCGCAGACTCCCCGTATCTCCATGGCCGTCGTCCGCAGACTCCCCGTATCTCCATGGCCGTCCTCCGCAGACTCCCCGTATCTCCATGGCCGTCCTCCGCAGACTCCCCGTATCTCCATGGCCGTCCTCCGCAGGCTCCCCGTATCTCCATGGCCGTCCTCCGCAGACTCCCCGTATCTCCATGGCCGTCCTCCGCAGACTCCCCGTATCTCCATGGCCGTCCTCCGCAGACTCCCCGTATCTCCATGGCCGTCCTCCGCAGACTCCCCGTATCTCCATGGCCGTCCTCCGCAGACTCCCCGTATCTCCATGGCCGTCCTCCGCAGACTCCCCGTATCTCCATGGCCGTCCTCCGCAGACTCCCCGTATCTCCATGGCCGTCCTCCGCAGACTCCCCGTATCTCCATGGCCGTCGTCCGCAGACTCCCCGTATCTCCATGGCCGTCGTCCGCAGACTCCCCGTATCTCCATGGCCGTCCTCCGCAGACTCCCCGTATCTCCATGGCCGTCCTCCGCAGACTCCCCGTATCTCCATGGCCGTCCTCCGCAGACTCCCCGTATCTCCATGGCCGTCGTCCGCAGACTCCCCGTATCTCCATGGCCGTCGTCCGCAGACTCCCCGTATCTCCATGGCTGTCCTCCGCAGACTCACTGTACCCCCGGTGGTGTCCCCCACAGACTCGCTGTTCCCCGCAGACTCACTGTACCCCCGGTGGTGTCCCCCACAGACTCGCTGTTCCCCGCAGACTCGCTGTACCCCCGGCGTCCCCCCCCCCCCCCTGCAGAATCACTGTACCCCCGGCGCTGTCCCCCAGCAGACTCACTGTACCCCCGGCGTTGTCCCCACCAGACTCTCTGTTCCCCGCAAACTCACTGTACCCCCGGCGCTGTCCCCCGCAGGCTCACTGTACCCCCGGCGCTGTCCCCCCACAGGCTCACTGTACCCCCGGCGCTGTCCCCCCACAGGCTCACTGTACCCCCGGCGCTGTCCCCCAGCAGACTCACTGTACCCCCGGCGTTGTCCCCACCAGACTCTCTGTTCCCCGCAAACTCACTGTACCCCCGGCGCTGTCCCCCGCAGGCTCACTGTACCCCCGGCGCTGTCCCCCCACAGGCTCACTGTACCCCCGGCGCTGTCCCCCCACAGGCTCACTGTACCCCCGGCGCTGTCCCCCCACAGGCTCACTGTACCCCCGGCGCTGTCCCCCGCAGGCTCACTGTACCCCCGGCGCTGTCCCCCGCAGGCTCACTGTACCCCCGGCGCTGTCCCCCGCAGGCTCACTGTACCCCCGGCGCTGTCCCCCGCAGGCTCACTGTACCCCCGGCGCTGTCCCCCGCAGGCTCACTGTACCCCCGGCGCTGTCCCCCGCAGGCTCACTGTACCCCCGGCGCTGTCCCCCGCAGGCTCACTGTACCCCCGGCGTTGTCCCCCGCAGACTCGCTGTCCTCCGCAGACTCACTGTACCCCCGGCGCTGTCCCCCGCAGACTCTCTGTACCCCCGGCGCTGTCCCCCGCAGACTCACTGTACCCCCGGCGCTGTCCCCCGCAGACTCTCTGTACCCCCGGCGCTGTCCCCCGCAGACTCTCTGTACCCCCGGCGCTGTCCCCCGCAGACTCTCTGTACCCCCGGCGCTGTCCCCCACAGACTCACTGTACCCCCGGCGCTGCCCCCCACAGACTCACTGTACCCCCGGCGCTGTCCCCCGCAGACTCTCTGTACCCCCGGCGCTGTCCCCCGCAGACTCTCTGTACCCCCGGCGCTGTCCCCCGCAGACTCTCTGTACCCCCGGCGCTGTCCCCCGCAGACTCTCTGTACCCCCGGCGCTGTCCCCCGCAGACTCTTTGTACCCCCGGCGCTGTCCCCCGCAGACTCTCTGTACCCCCGGCGCTGTCCCCCGCAGACTCTCTGTACCCCCGGCGCTGTCCCCCGCAGACTCTCTGTACCCCCGGCGCTGTCCCCCGCAGACTCTCTGTACCCCCGGCGCTGTCCCCCGCAGACTCTCTGTACCCCCGGCGCTGTCCCCCGCAGACTCTCTGTACCCCCGGCGCTGTCCCCCGCAGACTCTCTGTACCCCCGGCGCTGTCCCCCGCAGACTCTCTGTACCCCCGGCGCTGTCCCCCGCAGACTCTCTGTACCCCCGGCGCTGTCCCCCGCAGACTCTCTGTACCCCCGGCGCTGTCCCCCGCAGACTCTCTGTACCCCCGGCGCTGTCCCCCGCAGACTCTCTGTACCCCCGGCGCTGTCCCCCGCAGACTCTCTGTACCCCCGGCGCTGTCCCCCGCAGACTCACTGTACCCCCGGCGTCGTCATTCATCCGTTTTCCGATGAGCCCACAGGGGAGTGCTGAGTAATGGCCGCACATCATCACACGGTGCTGTTCAGATTCAGAAAACTTTATTAATCCCAAGAGGGAAATTATAATTACACTCAGAACAAAGATAAAATAAAAATCACAATAACAAACAAAGAATACAAAGTCACAAACAAAACCAATATAAAGTTACTAGTAAAAGCAAATTAGTATATAGAATAACCAGGAATTGAAAATAAATAAATATGAATGTAAAAACTAAATTGTTAAAGTGGCTGTAAATCTCCAGACATGAAATCTGAACAAAGCACATCCCTCTATGTGTGTCCTTGTCTCAGTCCAGAGCACTGAGTGTCTTTTCTGTCTGCTGCCTCCTTCCTCTATTACCATGAGTCACTTCTGACAAGTTTTTCTGACACCAAGAGAAAAATGGTGACAGCGGAGGAGCTCCAGCACACAGCCTGTGATTGATAGCCTCAGCTCTATTCCTGAAGGGTTTTGTGTCCCTTCCCTCCAATCAGTGCTCACTGAGCTCTTCAGAGTGTAATGTCAGCTTTTCGCCTCCTGTTTTTCTCAAAGCTCAGACAAGCTGTATAAATTCTGCACTTTGAACAGATGTGGACAGATAGGACTGCAGATAAACAGGTACAACTGGTGTAGGAGGATTTGTTTCCTCTCTGTGTATCACTTGAGGCCAGTCTCTGCACTGGGGATATGGAGGGTTTTCAGCCACTTCAAATACTGTACAGTGAAATCCTATGAAATCGCTGCACAGAATAGAGAGAATGAAACAAGTGGCAGAAAAAGTCCGGAAACAAAAGTGGAAATCTGAAGTATTAATGTGTCTGTAAGAATTCTTTACTGTAACAGAACATTGACATATGACCTGAAACTCCGGATCACGGGCCCTACTACCCTGCTGCATTTGGGACCCGCCCACCTCTGACATCACCGGATGGAAGATCCCTGTATGTAGAGATGACCATATATGTGGAGTGGGATGTACTGCGGGGGGGGGGGGGGGGCGCAGGAGGAGAATTTGAGATAGAATTGGGCTTTAATGAGTATATGGTCCCTAAAATGGTCTCCCCACCCAAAACCGATATTTGCCTTGTGCAGAGTCATTGAGGACATCATGGAGGAGATGCTGGTTGTCTCCGGCTCACCGATCCAGAAGAGTCACCAGATCCGCATACCGGCCAGGAATCAGTCATTGGATTGGAGGCTTCATAAATCCTTTTCTTTTTATTTGTAATATGTGATGCCGACTGATAGCGTGCTTGTCACTGCATCCACACGGCAGATGGAGCAGCTGATGTATTTGTCTGATTTTACAGCTCGGCCCTTGGTCCAGGCACTGCCATTGAGGACAGCCGTAAACAGCGAGACCATCTTACCAAAGAAACCTACCGGCTCTCTCCCATCTCCATCGGGGACCAGGAAAGACATTGTTCCGCTAGTATCCAAAAGGTAAGTGGGTGAGGCTGGAGGTCCTGGTCCATGGCCCCCTCAATGTTGGTCATCAGCTTCCTGTGCAGGCCGAGATGATTAAAGAACGACTTCATCCAACGCATTGCATTTCTGTGCTTGGCACTGTAATGGCGAGCCTGCTATGTAAGGGCGCGTTCACACTAGTGGGGGTGGGGTTTAGAACCACGCAGTTGAGCCACGTTATTACCACTCCTTGACTGCTCTTTTAGCCGGAAAGGCAAGGGCCAGGGGTGTGCATGCCTATCTGTCAAATGAATGGGCCTGTCCTACAACCACACACAGTGCATGCACTTCTGTTGCAGTAGTGCAGCATTTAGGGGGCCAATGAGGTGGCAACACATCACCTCCTCACCGTTGTCAATGTGACAAATCTTGCCACTAGTGTAAGTGAGCCCGTAAGTTCTGCTGGTGATCTCTTTCTGTCAGTCCTGTGCTGTTTGCTTAGTCAGCTCTTCTGACTTCCTCATGGGCGGGAGTAGTGGGTGGAGGAGTCCAGTTTTGTCTATTACTGTCTAAATGGTTGTTTCACTGAAATTACTGAAATTTTATTTTTATATACTGTATATTTTTTTAGCTGTGTTTCTGTTCACTTGTCTGCAGATTGGTCATTGTGCTGTAGATCTATAATGGTGATCTCTGCTGTGTGAATGTTGGGATAGCTCTGTGTGTCCTCCTGTCTGCAGATTGGTCATTGTCCTGTAGATCTACTAATGGCGATCTCTGCTGTGTGAATGTTGGGGTAGCTATGTGTTTCCTCCTGTCTGCATATTGGTCATTGTGCTGTAGATCTATAATGGTGATCTCTGCTGTGTGAATGTTGGGATAGCTCTGTGTGTCCTCCTGTCTGCAGATTGGTCATTGTGCTGTAGATCTATAATGGTGATCTTTGCTGTGTGAATGTTGGGGTAGCTATGTGTTTCCTCCTGTCTGCAGATTGGTCATTGTGCTGTAGATCTATAATGGTGATCTCTGCTGTATGAATGTTGGGATAGCTCTGTGTGTCCTCCTGTCTGCAGATTGGTCATTGTCCTGTAGATCTACTAATGGCGATCTCTGCTGTGTGAATGTTGGGGTAGCTATGTGTTTCCTCCTGTCTGCAGATTGGTCATTGTGCTGTAGATCTATAATGGTGATCTCTGCTGTGTGAATGTTGGGATAGCTCTGTGTGTCCTCCTGTCTGCAGATTGGTCATTGTGCTGTAGATCTATAATGGTGATTTCTGCTGTGTGAATGTTGGGATAGTTCTGTGTTTCCTCCTTTCTGCAGTTTGTTCATTGAGCTGTAGATCTATAATGGCGATCTCTGTTGTGTGATTGTTGGGATAGCTCTGTGTGTTCTCCTGTCTGCAGATTGGTCATTGTGCTGTAGATCTGCTGTGTGAATGTTGGGGTAGCTCTGTGTGTTCTCCTGTTTGCTGATTGGTCATTGTGCTGTAGATCTATAATAGAGATCTCTGCTGTGCGAATGTTGGGATAGCTCTGTGTTTCCTCCTGGCTGCTGATTGGTCATTGTGCTGTAACTCTATAATGGTGATCTCTGTTGTGTGAATGTTGGGATAGCTCTGTGTGTCCTCCTGTCTGCTGATTGGTCATTGTGCTGTAGAAATCTGTAATAGAGATCTCTGCTGTGCGAATGTTGGGATAGCTCTGTGTTTCCTCCTGTCTGCTGATTGGTCATTGTGCTGTAACTCTATAATGGTGATCTCTGTTGTGTGAATGTTGGGATAGCTCTGTGTGTCCTCCTGTCTGCTGATTGGTCATTGTGCTGTAGATCTGTAATAGAGATCTCTGCTGTGCGAATGTTGGGATAGCTCTGTGTTTCCTCCTGTCTGCTGATTGGTCATTGTGCTGTAACTCTATAATGGTGATCTCTGTTGTGTGAATGTTGGGATAGCTCTGTGTGTCCTCCTGTCTGCTGATTGGTCATTGTGCTGTAGATCTGTAATAGAGATCTCTGCTGTGCGAATGTTGGGATAGCTCTGTGTTTCCTCCTGTCTGCTGATTGGTCATTGTGCTGTAACTCTATAATGGTGATCTCTGTTGTGTGAATGTTGGGATAGCTCTGTGTGTCCTCCTGTCTGCTGATTGGTCATTGTGCTGTAGATCTATAATAGCGATCTCTGCTGTGTGAATGTTGGAATAACTCTGTGTGTCCTCCTGTCTGCTGATTGGTCCTTGTGCTGTGGATCTATAGTGCCGATCTCTGCTGTGTGAATGTTGAGGTGCTCTGTGTGTCCTCCTGTCTGCTGATTGGTCCTTGTGCTGTGGATCTATAGTGTCAATCTCTGCTGTGTGAATTTTGGGGTAGCTCTGTGTGTCCTCCTGTCTCGTCTCGTTGTCTGCTGACCTGTCTTTGCTCTCATTTACACTTTGCTTCTTTCCTGCATCATTCTGGCTCTAGCAAGTCTGTGCGTCTCATGAATACATGTAAAATAACTAAAGCCACATCCAGGTAAATGCTTTTCACTTCTTTCCTTTCCATGACTGTTCCAATATTCGGGATTATATTTCGTGATCTTACAATGATCTCTACATACATGATCTCTACATACATGATCTCTACATACTTCCTCTAAAAATGTAGATTTTCAATCATTTGCAAACAATGAAGTTATAGAAATGTATACAGTGGTTGTAGCCTAACTATGTTTACACGCAGAAGGGACTCCATGATGGATCTCGGCAGGTTACATCAATGATGACAGATATGGTGACTCAGATCGAATACGTTCTGGGGTCGCCAAACACAAGAGCAGAGGGC